CTGTGAGTGACAAGCACTACAGCCACAACACTAGTGGACTTATATACATCCCGCTCTTCACACGATCTCATTGGATCGCGGGGGTATTTTCATTATCCTCCCAAGCCGCATCATTGAACAATATAGGCGAAAAACAACAACAACAACGTAAAACGTACGTGCTACGTGTTTACGACTCGGCACCGTCACCGCCAGTGGAGCGCGATATACGACGTGCTCTCAGACCGTATGATGACAGCATCACGGTAGAGTTTGTCCCGACCCCACGACAAGTGCGGTCTAGCGAGGATTGTGGCATTTTTATGTCCATACGTTTTTTTGCGTTTGCGGTCAATGTGAATGTCCGCATCACGCCCGGTTTGACCAAGATGGTCCGACATTTGTTCGACACTGTGCTACGCCACTGCGAGGAACCGCCGACACGTGCGTTTTTCCTATCGAGACTGAAACGTTTTCTAGAACTACGAACTGACATGGAACGCCAAAACCTGTTAAACGCCACTATAATGGAATGGCGACAACAGCAGCATCAGCAGCACCCAACACATCAACAGAAGAAAAACCTATCGCGACATCGCGATGAGAGAGAGTGGCTTTACGGAGGGACAGGTGCCTCACAGCCATCACAGCAACGAAGTCGACGAACGACGAATGTGAATGATGACGAAGCTGTTGTCAACGCGGTGCGAGCGACCACTGGAAACGAGGAGGCGATGGAACCCATGGAGTGGTCCCAACCCCAGAGTGAGGTTGAAGGGCCATTGCAAGAACGAGAAGAGGAAGATGTGACAGGACTGGAAGTTGTGGATGCGGTAAGAGCGGAAACCAAGTTTCCCGCTGAACCCAAGCGGCGACTGATTGTGTGCCAGGCACGTCGCGTGCTGCTTCGCACGCAACTCGACTGGGAGGTGCATCGGCGTCGCAAGGTTACCTACATTCTGGCCGGTCTCGCGCTTATCTCGGTTGGCAAGGGAGATGACAAGGAGCTGCGGCCCCAGTCGATCACCAATTTTCGCACCAAGAATCATTTGGATAATTTGACCGAGTTCGACCTGTCCACCGTCTTTGACGCTTTGCAACTGCCTTATTTTTCCCTTCAATTCAACGACGATCGTCCACGGGCCCAGCAGAAACGCTCGAACAAGACGGACGGCAATCTGAGAGCACANAGACTCTCTCTGAGAGTCGTTGCTGCGCTGATAACAGTGGTATTTCATCTCGTCAGTGTAAGTATCCTGTTCCCACTATTGGGTTGGTGGGCTATCTGTCTGGAAATATCGATGAAGGGAAATGGAATGATGAATACCTCGGCGTGAGTGCTTCTGTAAGTGGCGTCCCAGAGAAGAATCCCAACGGACTAACGTTAAAGGGAATTGGTGCAGGGGCAAAGTGGCCTGTGAACACAGATGGACTGGCGAAGCAGTATTACTTTACAAACTACGCCTTTACTCTTGCGGCGACTGTGACTATCCATGAGGTACCAAAGAAGGAAAACAGTCCTTTGTTGGGTGTAAAAATGAATAAATCCAAAAAAAGAATTCTTTTTGGTTTGTCGTTCAATAAAGACAATACGTGGAGCACAATAAACAGGGACGAATCAAGTGGTCCAACAGGCAAATGGGAAGTGAACAAGGCGTATTCAGTGATATTGACATTAAAAGACGGTAAGGCTATTGTGTATATCAACGGTATTCGTTTAAGTGCACCATATTACGCCGAAATGGAAGGGGA